TTATCTCTTGATGTACTTCCAATGTATTTAGGATGTGTTGCTTTTTTGCAAAGTTTATTTATTTTCAATTTCAATTTTTCTAATCTGATTGTCCTTTACCAAAGTGTGTTACATTTCTTACAAATCTGAGAAAAGTATGTCAGTTCTTACACCAGCTTAGATGTTCCTTGTCTGTCCCTTTACTTTGTTATCTAAGACAGATGTAAGAAAGGTAGCAACAGACTAGATATTTGATTAGGCACTTAACATTTAACTCTTCAACTGGGAACAGCTTTAAAAGATGCAATCTGCTGGCAGCAGTGATTTTAATGCAGTTATCTATCAGACATTTTCACGAGCACACCTAGTTAAAAGTGAGTTTGTCATTTTACATATACCTTACATCTTATCTTACAATTAACTATTACTTGTGTTAAAAAAGAAAAACACACCTCTTGGCCACAGGTGTAAGGAAACTTACTCTGTTGCCAGGGGTAGGTTACAGAGATAATACGGACTTAACCCTAATTATGCAAATAGACAAAGAATACAACTAATGAGGTCAGATGGCTCCCCAGAAAAAGGGAGGCGTTGTACCCCACCAGAATTATCTCTAGATTTAAAAAAATCATCTTATAGGTAATAAACTTTATTATAAATTGACATACAAAATAGGTGCAACATAAAGTGAAAAGTGATGATCACAATCAATTAAAAAGGAGGGGAAACCTACATAGCTCAGTGTCAATTGTAGTAAAAAATGGAGACAGTGTGAGCCACTAAAATGAGATTTAAACTATATCCCATATTGGTATGTATCAAAAACAACAAAGTATCCAATATTAAGTGAAAGGGATATGGTTTTAGAAGGGAGAAGCACTACACATTTAAATCAATCTACCTCTATGGTAGCCACAAACAGCCACAGTTCTACAAAGAAATCCTGTTGGGAAGTAATCAAACTCCCAGGGGTTAAATGGAGTAATGATACCAAGCAAAAAGCAAAGCCAACACTCCAGTGTCAAGAACAATAGACAGTAGAAGAGGTAGGCAACCTTCGTCCTTCAGGATGTTGTGGACTACATCTCCCATACTGCTCTTAGAGCCATAATGCTGGCAAAGCATCAGGGAATATGTAGTCCACAACATCTGGAGTGCCAAAAATTGCCTACCCCTAGACTACACCTTTTACAAAACAGATGTCAATCACATTGAGAATCAATTGTCCATATATTCTTAACAAGGCAGAGCGAATGTGCCCTGAATAATGGGCCAAAATCATACAAAAAGTTGGTTTATTCTGCCACCAGCTGAATAATTACCATCTTAATGCAGCTAAAGGTCACACTACCAAATATTAAAGTTTTTTTGGATGAATACTTCTGTATATAGCATATTTTAATTTGTCCCAGTGCTGTCCTAAGACTAAGCCTCCTAATCTTTGCCCTAACCATAAGCCTTGCCCTAACCTAGCTATAACTCTATTCATAAACCTAGTATTATTGAATCAGTTAATATAAAATATGCATTACTCGTAATTGTACTTCATGGGAAATAATGTCCATGATCTGTGAGTTTAAGAGACATTCACAATCTACTCAATTTATTTATTATATATCCAGGACCTCTTGATAACATTATTTTCCTGTAATAAAACTTTACTGTGATTCAACACGTCTACATATATTTTTTTTTATTTTTTTTTTGCTATTTGCGTACTCAATATTGCATACATATTTTTGAAAAGGTAAACAAATTCTCGTGTCAGAAATCAAGTACCAGATGATCCTTGCTGTATAGTTTTAGCCTGTTATGAATTTCTGACTATGAAAAATAATGAAGTATTCTGCTATGTTTTTAATATTGGTATATTACATACATGGGTACATTAAATGGAGCAGAACGTTTATCAAAGTAATAATTGTGTCAAGTGTCATCACTAAGACATATAAATGAATTCATTTTTTTCTCTACACTTACTGAAAATATGTTTTAAACAGTTATTTTATCAGAAAAAAACTGTGTTAATAGAAGATGACTTGAACATTTTGTGTAGGAGGAAAAATGCAGGAAGGGAAATAAAGTGTGTTCAGAAGAACATCAGATTATTACAGTAAATGAATGGTTTTGTAAAACGAGAGATAGAGTGTCAAAAACTAATCAAAGCACTCTAGTAAATTGGACATATTAAAATGTTACTTTCATTAGCTCCTTAGCTGTGTCTCTTTTTGCTTTTGTCTGACAAACTCATTAGTATGCACTACTATTACTGCTATAGACATACGATGTTCATTTTAATGAAACGAATGCAAATGGGTTTGAGCATTCATTTTCTACCTTTCCAATGCATTTGACAGTTGATATAGCTTAATTTGTAATTGTATGTCTTCTTTAGCTTTTTTGATAGCTTAATTAGTTTGTTTTTATTTTTACACCATTTCATTTTTAATACAGTTACATACCAATACAATATATTACACACATATTATGTGAACAGTATTAGCTGGTGGAGTCTAAAGATAATAGGGCGCTTAACTCTACCCCCACAATTTGCCTCATGTATTCAACCCTTGAGCCAATAAGATGCCATCTTCTATTTTACACTGTAACAGAAGACAGAACAATGTGAAAGTCTGTCTTTTCCTGTGTCCAAGATCTGAATGCCCACATCCATTAAGTGACCTCAGAAATCTTGTTAGAGTAGAAGTCAAGACCCGGTAAACTGGGAATTAAAAACAAAAAAATATCCCAAAATTGAAAAATTCAATTTTTATTTTACTTTTTAATTTCAAGAAATAAGTAGGGAGCACTGCCCCACCTGGTGCTATAGACCAGCCTCCACTGTGTGTGTAACAATAAAATAGATTTTGGTAAGACTCTTGGTAAGAGAGTTTTTTTTTAATTCTGCATTGTGCAATATCACACTGTGTAAGACAAAGAAAGGGTAAGTTACAGGGAAACCAAACAGAGCAAATTCCTATACTTAATAGCAGCAGTGGGGACTACATGTTCCAGCTGTCTGACTGTGATAGGTGTCAGCCACATTCTTATCAAATTAATTAAAGTATGCTTTGCAAATAAATATTGTAGTTAGGAGTGTGACTTCCATTACCATTAGACTGTTCTAATATGTACCTATCACAGTAAAATACAGTAATAGACATGTCACAATGAATTAATATCACCAATTCCAAAACATTCGCGTGTGTGTGTCTATAAAGGGTTAGACTGACTGTGTTGAAGAGTTGCATTTTACATTTGGAGTGTTATGCAAAAGGCTATTGCTGCCATTCCAGTTGCTCTAAAACAAGAATGTCAAACTCAAAGGCTAACACGGGCTAAATAAACAAGGTTTAAGTTTATGTGGGCCGCAAAAAAAAAAAAAAGAAAGAGTTCAACCTACACCAACAAAAAGTAAAATTACTTGTATCCTTCTTATGCAAATAATATTTAATCCTGGGTACATATTTATAATTTACGCAGAACCATCACTTAAAGTTACTTAAGATGCCCATACACAGCCTCCTGCGCTCCCCCACTCTAAAACACTGCCCCCTCCCTCCACTCTAATTGACTACACTACCGTGACTCCCACCACTCTAATTTACTACACTGCCTCCCCTACCCTATTTTAATACATTGTCCCACACCACTCTAATACACTGACCCCTCCCTTCCACCACTCTAATACACTTCCCCCTCCCTCTCACCACTCTAATACACTACTCCCTCCCCCAATTTTATACACTGCCCCACACCACTCTAATACACTGCTCATTCCCTTCCACCACTCTAATGTAATAAACTGCCCACACTTCTACCACTCTAATTTAATACACTGCCACCCCTCACTCCCCCATTTTAATACAATGCCCCACACCACTCTAATTCCACCACTGGGTGGAGCTGGGAATAAATAAAGAATAAAAAAAGAAAGGTCAAAAAAGGAGAAGGAGGGAGAGAGAATAGGAATAGAGGGAGAGTGAAGTGAGCAGATGAAAGGAGAATAATCGTATGTAAGAGATTACAAGTAGATTCAAATGGGTTTGAGACTCAAGAAGGGAAGGAGGGAAACAAATGCAGAAATGAGGGACATTAAGGGGAAGAGGACTTAAAAATAAAAGTTGAATGTAAATTATTTTTGGCAATTACAAAAGTATTGCTTTTTTTTGTAGAAAACTGAGAACTCAAAAATGTTACCATCACTCATTTAAATTTGCCTATATTAGCTAAGTTTTGCTATTAGGTAACAATTCACTTGTGTATGTTTTCTTTCCTATTAAAAATGTGTATTTTATCATATTGTTGCACTTAAGACTCATCAAAAGAGTATTTTTTTCTTAATTTTTCCAGAGTACTATACTTTTGAAATAGGGTTGCATGTGATAATAATTAGTGAGGTTACACTATCAGAGTTTGCAGGAATCTATGATCTGCAAACTTTCTTTGTCTTAGGGATGAGCATAACCACCTAGCAAAGCTAGTGGGTATGCGGCAGCCTCCCGGAGTCAAATGCCAGAGCTGAAAAGGCTCGCGCTGTGCATCTGCACAGCAACAGCCTTTCAGCCAATCAGGTAATCAGGAGAGCCGTGCTGAGCGCGGGAATCCTGATTACCTCAGATTTTTTAAAATTGGGAAACTGCGGATGGTTAGCACATCCCATGAAATACTAAGGATAAATATTTCCCACAGTGTACAGGAATATAATTAAACTTCTAAACACAAAATAAAATAATTCAAGATGCCAATAGTACAGGGGAACAAGAAAATATTTAATAAGTCATGGAGACATACAAGATAGACTTGAAACTTTGGAAAAAACAGCTGAACTGAAAAACAAGGCAACAATGTGTGCCAAAGGAAAGTATCCAAAGACCACTGGAAACATTCAACGTAAGTTGCAACAAAATAAGTTCAATAAAAGAGACAAGAAATGTTGAAACAAGTCCCAGCAGACATAATCTTTATGCAGGGAGTCCATGAGAATATTAAACCGACGAGACTACTTGCATCCAATCCTTCTACTTAGGTGGATCCTTGGTTTGTTGGTCTTGTCTTGGAGTACGGCTATAGTCTGTAAAAAACAAAACAGAGAACAGTTATCAAAAGGTTGAATAATCACCAGATAACCTTATGTTTTAGAAAAACCAACTACCACCAGCAGGCAAAACCCTTAACTAGGAGGAGGGTGGGACGGGCGCTATTGCTAGGTGGTTATGCTCATCCCTAAGACAAAGAAAGTTTGCAGATCATAGATTCCTGCAAACTCTGATTTGTCCTCGGGAGGCATAACCACCTAGCAAAGCTAGTGGGTAGAATAGCACACACCTGGTGGTGGTCCTAAGAAACTGAAGGCGTTCAACTTCTGATGGCCTCCAGTAAAATCTAACAAAGGTTTTACTGGACAACCATCTTGCAGCTTTAAGATAGTAGCTAGAGGAAGGCCCTTTCCTGCTGCTTTAGTAGCCGAGGCTCCCCTAATTGAATGGCTTTTGAACACTGAAACATCAATTCCAGCCGTAGACATGGCGGAAAGTATCCAGCCTCTAATTGTATTAACCTTGGCTGGACGAAAGGGATTCCTTGATGTAATGAATAATTGACTGATATCGTTTCTAAATCCAGCAGAAAGTTGAAGGTACGATTGTAACAAACTGACTAAACATAAGCCTGGTTCGGAAGAATCTTGGACCAAGTCCAATTCTACCGGACCAGGAGAAAAATGGGATGTTTTTTGTCTGCCTTTTAGTATAATATGGAAACCTCCCGGGGTCCTGGACAACCAAGGTTCTGAAATATGGATCTGAGTTAACTCTGCTCCTCTAGCTGCCAGGGCCAAGGACAGCAGAGAAGCCAGCTTAATAGCAGTCCATCTTAAATCAATTTTAGCATTATCCAAAGACTTTAGGAAATTTAATAAGACATCTACATCCCAAGTAGATGTGTAGCGTGGGGTATATGGGCGGCAGACGGCTAACCCTTTTAGTAATCTCAAATACAGGGCATCCTGAGTAAGGTTGGGGATCAGGAAGTTTAAGGCAGATCCGTAGGTCTTGATTGAACTGACAGATAAACCAGAATGGAACTTAAGGGTAAGAAATTCTAACGCCAAAGGAATGGTATCAGATCCTTGTGTGTTAGACAGAAAAGAAACCTCCCATTCTTTGAATTCCTCGATCATCTTTCTATATCTTACCCTAGTTCTACGTCTTAAAGATGAGTTAATAATATCCAAGACCTGGTCCGATAAATGGGGATGTGTTAACAGCCTACCAGGGCTGCGATCCACATCAGCTGCGGGAGCTTGAGCAGAAGATCGCTGGTTCCCTGAAAGCAGTCCACTGTCATGCCTAATTGGATCTTGGTTCCCTTGACTAACTGATGGATCAAGGGATACCAGGGTCTGGAGGTCCATACTGGGTAAACGAGAACTAAGCTCTGCACCCTGTCCCTGCGGATCTTCTCCAGCACTTTCATCAGTAAAGATGGAGGGGGGAAAGCATAAGGGGCTGGAACATCCGTCCATTGGAAAGACATTGCATCCATTTTCCAAGCTCCCTTTGTCCAGGTCCGGGAGACGAACCTGGGAGTTTGAGCGGATGTTTGGGATGCAAACAGATCTACCTGTCTCTGGCCAAAATTGCTTTCTATCTTTTGGAAAAGAGCAATCTTTAATTGGATCGTTGCCAGGGACAAACTTTGGCGAGAGAGAGAGTCTGCAAGCTCGTTCGCCTCTCCCGGAACATATTCTGCGAAAACCTGAACATTGCTTGCTAAGGCCCAGGACCAAAGATCTAGAGCCTCTAAGCAAAGACCCCTTGATCTTGTACCCCCTCTGTGGTTTATATAAGCCACCGCTGTCCTGTTGTCCGAATGGACTTTTACCAATGTCGGTGACTCGTTTAGAGGAACTAGGCCCTTGAGAGCTAATTTTATAGCTCGTAACTCCAAGATGTTTATATGGAGGTGACTCTCTTGGTCTGACCAGATTCCTCTTATGGCGTTTTGGGTTGTAAACGCACCCCAACCGTGACTTGAGGCATCTGACGTCAGAGTGACTGTCGCAGGCTGCTCTAACAGTGGACGAGGAAATGGAATTTCTAACTCCAGAATGGACTTCAATTCTTCTCTGACCTTCTTGGGGAGAACAAATTTTGATTCCCAATGGCCACCCTGTCTCAGTCGGTTCCCTAAAAACAGCTGACTTCTTCTGCAAAGTAAGGGGGAATTGTTGTATGCTGGTGTTAAAGCTATTAATTTCCCTATGATCTTTGCTAGGTCTCTCAAGGACCAACTCTGGTGCTTGAGAGATGAGTTCAGATGTACCAATAATTTGTCCCATTTGTCTTGAGGGATTCCAAGGGACATAGTCCTGGTGTTCAGTATGAAACCCAGAAAGAGGATGCTTTGAGTGGGAATTAGGACTGATTTCTGTAGATTTACTACGAATCCTAGATCTTGTAAAAGGGAAGCAAGGTAATCCCTTTGAGAAGCAAGGGCTTCCCCATCTGGGTGCATGAGCAGGATGTCGTCTAGGTAGTATAGACACATGAAACCTTTTAGTCTGACATGAGCTATCACTGATTTCATAATTCTGGAGAATGTGTATGGTGCGTTGGAGAGGCCAAACACCATAACAGTCCACTGCCACACCTTTCCTTTCCACTGAAACCTGAGAAAACGCCTGTGTTTCTTGGCTATGGGGACTGAATGGAAGGCATCTTTTAGGTCTACTTTTATGCAGAAAAAGGCTTTCTGAACTAAGCCTGGAAGATCTGATAGACTCTCCATCCTGAACCTTTTCCTTTTGATGAAAGCGTTCAGAGGCCTCACATTTAGGACCGGTCTCCAGGAACCGTCTGACTTTGGGATTGGGAACAATGGGCTGACCCATCCTGTAATAGACATGTCTGCCAACTCTATTTTTCCTTGACTTAAAGCTAAGGAAAGGGAGGCATCTAGCACTGGGTTCACCTCTCTGTGGGGTGCAAATTTCTGGACTGGGAACCTTAACAGGGGGAGTTGTAAACCCCTTTGAAAGATCTTTAGAACCCATTTGTCTGAGGAAATATCCTTCCAATTTAGTGGCATATGAGGAGGCACACTTACTTGAATGCATGGGTTTCCTTTTGGAAGCTGAACCGCCTCTGGAATGCGCTCCTCTGCCGCCGCCTGGGAGCTTATGTCTTCCACTGTAGTGGCGGTACTGGGCCTGGTGAGAGGCTTCTCGGGACGCTCCTGCAGCCCTATAGGGGCGACCCTCCGTCCGAAAGGGCTTCTTGTAGCCAGGGACGGACTTCTTGAGTTCTGAAAAGGATCTCCTTGCCTTGTAACGGCCTTTAACCTCCTGAATGAACGAGGGACCGAATAGGTAAGAATCCTCCAAATTTGGGAACTCATGCGATTTGGGGGCTAGGTCGGACAGACCAGCTGCATGGAGCCAGCGGGATCTGCGGATGTTTGAAATGTAATTAAAGGATTGGCCAATAATTAGCACTGCCCTGCCAGACGCTTTTAAAAGGGCCATCTTAGATGCTAACAGGGATGAAGTGGAAGGTTTCTGAGCATTGCCTTCTTTTTCTGCTTTATCCAGCATCAGTAATAGTGGTCCCACAGCATCAGCAATTTTAAACTGTATATTGCGAAAAGTCTGGTCTGTGGGATCAGAGGATACGCTGCTCCCTGTGATGGATAACAGCGAAGGGTCTACCTCTGGGGCCATTAGAGCCTGAATGTCCGGGATACCGATGTGGTTCCTGAGGAGAAGGTCATCTTCCTTAACCAAGGGGGATCTGAAGGCTAGTTTAGCAAAATCTCTAACCTCGGAATCGTGCTCCATAGCCCATCTGGAGTGAAATAATTTTGATGGGAGAGTCTTTCCTAGGAGACTTACTCTGGCCATCTGAACATTGCTTAGCTTCCCTCGCTCAGTGGAAGCTGCTGAACGAACCACTTCCTCGGATTCCCAGTCTATTTCTGGAGAGCCGTATCTGGAACTGGGACGGCTTTGGGAAGAAGAGTGAGCGAACGCTCTAGAAGAGGAAGGAGAGGGACTATCTAACCTCCAACGAGATTTGCCCTTTTCCTCTGGGAGGTGTTTCTGGTGCTCAAACGAGGGAAACACGCTATTCCTTTTTTGAGGTCCTGTCCCCTTAAATTTTCGCTTACTCAAACGAGTATGAGGGGAAGGAGGAGCGGAGAAGTTTTCCTCAGACGAGGAACTGGCGGAAGAGACCAGCCGTCTTCCTTTATGCTTTTTATTTAAAACTGGGACCAAATCCTCCTCAGATGATGAAGAGGATAGATCCCTGGCAAGGAAAGCTCTCTTATGGAGCTTTCTAACATTGATGGGGCTGCCTTTAAGAGAGGCATCCACTAAATCTGTGGCAGACACAGAAATAGAGTCCTCCATCAATGATGCCATTTTAAAAAATCTGAGGTAATCAGGATTCCCGCGCTCAGCACGGCTCTCCTGATTACCTGATTGGCTGAAAGGCTGTTGCTATGCAGATGCACAGCGCGAGCCTTTTCAGCTCTGGCATTTGACTCCGGGAGGCTGCCGCATACCCACTAGCTTTGCTAGGTGGTTATGCCTCCCGGAGGACAAATACGCTTACAGTGCATCTGTCATAAAATATGACAGCTGCAAGATTTTTATCTTCCTATTTATACACTTGCTAGTAACTCATTTAGTCCAGTTTATATGTATAACACAATTAAGATTTTTTTTTTCATGACAGTTGCATTTTGATAGATATGTCCTTCTTTCTTCTTCAAGACCATGTTGTTTAGTATACAAAGCTAGTACATGATCTGACTACTAATGGAAAGGCCGGCAAAAAGACAGAGATCTGTAGAAGGTGTGATAAGACACTATTAGAGAACAGAAAATTATGGGCAATGTGTCTGAAGGAGACAGCAATCTACACTTCATCCTAAAAGTGCAATGTGCTGCCTCTGTAAAGCAAGCAGTCACTATAGAGGAGGCATCTCAAGGTCAGCACAGATCTATTAAGCATCCTGGATCATTATCTAGACTGGATATATTTCAAGATTCATGTCAGATGATTCTAAGGCAGACTTTAATGGGTACTTTGAAGATTATATGTAAGGAACATCAGAAAATAAAAGCTTAAAGGGAAACTATAGAAGTATAACTGTTTATGTTGCTAGTACACAAAAGTTGAGTTTGCAGGATAATTGCATAATTAGTATGTGTGCAAGATATTTGTAACTGCATTTGCAGTATCTTAGCCTTTTAATGGGAATGACCACATTTTTCCCATTACAAGGAATAAGATCATTCTTATATTGTCAGAAAGTTTCATTCTATCATACTGTGCTTAACAACTACATTGGTGACAATTTTAAACACTTCCTTCAGCAGCTGAACCTGCTTCTTACCATAGCATTCAGGAAACCACAACTGCTACCACTACAATCATTATTACAAAACATTTATGATAGCATTTTATAACTTCAAGGGTTACTCTGAGCATCATAACCACTATAGCCTGCTGTGTTGGTTGTGATGCCAGAAGTATCCTGGCACCAAACCCTAGTAATAGGCAAACATTTTTTTTAACTGATTGCCTCTTGCATAGGTCCCACGAGGTATTGAGTCTTCTCTAATGCTGGCTCTAATTCTTCAAAGCTCCAGAAGCTTGATGCTGCTCCAACCGTTTATTCATTGGCTAAGAGCATCATTTACTGCAAGGAATAAGCACACAATTGACATTAGCCAGCTGGAACTCTCATTCTGTGATGGCTTATGATGACACCTGAGGAGGAGCCTAAACATTTCTGCATTTCTAGCATTTCATACTCAAACATTGCACATGGTCACTTCAAAATACTAAGTACTCTAAATGAAGTCACATAATATCCATCTACTTGGCTAAAAGACTAAATTAGAATGAGTGTGATTTAAAAAAAAAAAAAATCATAACAGTCTTTTTTAAATGAGTTAATTTATTTTTTTAGAAATTATTACATAGTTATAAATCCTAATAGTTTGTATATCAGTTCTCACAAAGTGTGAGCAAAAGTGATGTCTTCCATGACCTGAAAATAGCAAGTGAGTCCTTACCCACAATTCTCTATCATGAATTCAGACACTTCACTGCATAGATTTGTAGCACAGGGATATTTTAGTTACTGTTGCCTTGCCATCTTGAAAAAGTAGGATATGGGTTCTTTCTCACTCTTAGTGGAGCTTTTCATGGAGTTTTTTCCCACCATTCTCTGTGCTGGACCTGAGCTAGGATGTACACTGTCGTAGACAAATATTCAATTTGTCACGCCTTATCCCACACCTATTTTCAGCCTCAGCCTTCCATCACCTTTCTTTCTCTTTTCTACTATTTCTCTTCCAGCCTCTTTCCCTGTCCATTAGATTATGTCATACTAGTTAACTAACTGTTTATGGGTGCTTTGATGAATTTGTGACACAGATTGTGTGTGGGAAAGCTGCTTGTAGTGTAATGTGTGTAGAGAGGCTGATTTTGTGAGTTTGTGATTTTGCATCTTCTGTATTTGTGTGTGGGGTTGGCAGTGAGATGGGGTTATGGTGTGCATTGCATGTGAGGAGGTATTTCCTGTGTAGAGGCTGTATGTGTTCTGTGTGGTGAGGATGTTGTGTGTGTGTTGGGAAGGCTGTGTGCATTGAGTGTTGTGTCCAGCTACCCCACAGGCAATATCAGTTAAACACTTATTTTTTTTTTTTACTTCCCTCAAGCAATGATCCAATGGGTGGGGCTTCTGGTTTGCATTTTCTTTAAGTGCACATGACTTTGCACTGACACTGCTTCCAGCCCGAGACTAACAGAGGACATAAAATGATTTGCCCCTTCTAGAACTGCAAAGCACACACTCCCTTGCAGCATTTAATGGTCAAAGTCACTTAGAAGAAACATTTATTCCCCATCCTAATGTTTTGTTTGAACCATAACAAATGAAAGATCATGTTTGCATGCTCTTATTTATAGAGTTGTAGCCACATGAAAGTAGATTCTGGCAGAATGTTACTAGACTGTGATAAAAATTAGGATGCAATGGTTTCTTCTTACATTAGGTATTACATATACAGTCATTGAAATGTATTCATTTTGAAAGCAGAACTTTAGATTCTTAAGAATTTCTTGATAACTTATATATGTTCAGGTGTTATGCATTATGCAAAAAGTTTGGAGCAGTATGGGGCTATAAGAGATAAAAGTGGAGTTTGGTTAAAGTACAAGAGTATGAAAAGCAAATTTTTTTGCCATCTTTCACTTTGCATGCTAAATTTATTGTAATACCCATATGTGGGAGAATAAAGGAGATTGATTTTTTATTTTGAAATCTGGTTGCTGTATATTGCGTTCATTCATTTGTATGGTGGGATTACCACATTCCATACAGCAAAGGATCGGGGTCACCACAGTGTTTGTACTTCAGTGTTTGTGGATAATTGATTACATTTGGAGATTGATTTATAGTTGCAGCTTGACTATTTTAGAATGACTTTTGCAATTTGGTTTTCAGGTCGCTATAATTTGCAGTTTAGTGAATAAACCCTTAAGTAAAAATCAGATGCCAATAAGGTTTGTAAGGTGAGTATGTCATCTTCTCTGAAAGCTATACAAAAAAAAAATCAAGCTAAAAGGGACACTACACTGCCCAAATACAAAATAAATAAAAAATAGCGATTTAGTAGATATACCCCAAATAAAAACTTGCACGCATTTAATTTGGCATGTTTTCATCTGAGTTATATCTAAAAACAGCTTGCAAAAAGTGCAGATTTCTTGTCTTCTGCCTCCTTCTCTTCTAACCCTGCCCTGCCCTTCTGTGACTGTCCAATCACAAAATTCCCAATGCAGAATTCTCAATGAGAAGTCTTTGCAAGGCAGGTGCTCTGAACAATTGCTGCCTCATTAGTTCAGTGCAAATAAGCTAACCAAACCAGGAAGTAACAGGACCTGTTGTCTGCCAGAAAAGCCAGGGGGGTATAACAAGTATAATTTATAAAACTGTGAAGTTCTAGTGAAATCTGAACTTTTTTGCAAAATTAAAAAAGGGGACACATTCTTCACACATAAAGCTTTTCAGCAAGCTAAAATTATTTTAGGGGTCTGGAGTATCCCTTTAACAAAGCCTAAGTAATGCAAGAAGACCAAAGTCATTTCAAATATCCAAGGTTATAAAGATTTATATACAAAAATAGTCAAAATACGATAGTGTGTGTATTGTTCCCATTGCATATTGTTGCTTATCTCAATTGAATTTTCCCTCTGTGACAAGGAGACAACAGGGAAAAGAAAATCTTGAAAGCACGTATAATTGTGCCAATTTTTTCAGTACTGTAAATCTTACATTTTATTTATTTTTTCCCCTGTTCTATAATGCAAATGCTCTTTTTTCCATGAAATTGTGAGAGATACTGCTATCAGAAAGTAAAACATTTTTAAGGACATTATAAGAACTATTTAATAGAAAACATTTGAAACTATACAGCAGTGTGTTATAAAAAAGCAGACTTTTACCACTGAACAGTACTTAGATTAGATTTAGCTGACAGAATACTTTCCTATCCCTACTGTAATATATTCACACACTATACCAGAAGCATTTACGTTTCAGCAAACATTTTTGCTATTATGCTCTTTAAGAATAATTTAGTTTATGATCATGGAAGATGTATTTTGCAATTTGTTGTGCATGATACACCAGTATACAAATACACAATAATTAGTAAATCTTTGTCTTTCTTGCTAACATTTGTATTTTTTCTAATTTCATATACATGGTTAATAAATCTTAAACTGCATTTATATGCACATTTGTTGTTTTTCTATATTAAAATGTCCTTGGCTATTCCCAAGATAAGAGTGTAATAACTATTGGTCACTCTAAGCATATTTCAGTATTGACTGGATTTATGCTTTCAAACTATAGTAAAAAAAAGATGCCACAGGCATTAAGCTCTGTGGCATATATTTATGGTCGCAATAAAGGGTTAAGCTGTCCTGTTGGTTCAAGTAAAGGAAAGTTAGTGAAAGTTCATGACCCCTGGTTAGGTTGTTGGGCAGAGTAGGACAAGTCGCTGGGCAGATTTGATGACACAGCTGTTGCTGGGGACAAGAGCTGGCTGGGGATTGGCTGCTGGCTGCCAGCGATCAAAAGAGCGGGAAGCCAGGTAAGCATAAAAGTGGCAACGTGAGCGCAGTCCCTGTCAGCATTTTTCTTCAAGACAGGAGAAGCACGGATGGACCCCCGCCCTCCCTCCCCTACTAGCTAACTTTCTTTATAATTAATGTTGTGGTGCTAGAAAGCATTGGGGCAAAGACATCCTCAGATTCAAGTTCTTAGGAAGGATATGTGTTAAATGGTTGTATATAAAAGGCGGTCCGGTTAGCTATGACTGACTGGCAATTAAGTGAT